CTCAGGAAAGCCATTTCATGACCATATGATAGCACGTTATAGTTGGCTATAAAAAAAGAGCTATAGAGAGTGTTTTCCTAAATTTATGTAGCCTACTACTATATTACATATGTATTATATTTTTTACTTATATCAAAGTTGTTATTTGTAATAAACACGCATTATATTTAATTTGAGCTATTTTTAACCTTAAATACTACCAGCTGATATGGTATTTTTACAGCATTGGGTGAGATTTTTTTTTCTTGAGAAAAATGAATGCCTATCTTGTGTACCTAATATTTATCCAAATGAGTCAATATTGCATCAAATCACAAGAATTAAATTAAATTGAAATCGTGAAATTTGTGTCAAGCAATAATAATAAAAACGTAGCTTACCAGAAATTGTACCATGTAAAAATTGTAAGATTGTGTATGCGATTAATTTAGATTAATTAATTACAGAGTATGTAATTAATTAGATTAAAATTTTTAATCGATTGACAGCCCTAATATATATATATATATATAGGGGTGTAACAATATATCGTGTCACAATATATCGCAATACAAAAATGCATCAATATGTATTGTGTACAGAGTTTTGGTGTCAGTACTACATTAAACTACTATCTATAATGTTGAATATAATGTATAATAATGCAATGGGGGAATATTTGTGGGTCCTGATAATGCCAAATGTTACCAGTTAAAAGTGGCCATCATGATTTTAAATATATCTAGTCAGTGACAGAGTGCAATATTCGTCTAAAATAATTCAGTATTTTCAGCTTCAGAATCATGAATATTTTTACTCTGGTGTCTCTGTTGTCCCGTGCTTTGGGTTTCCAGCACCAAGTCCAAGATATTCATTTACAGTTACACACACAATGTAATATCAAATTTAGTTTTTTTGTTAACCTTTTACCATATGTCTTGGAGTATGGCAATAATATCATATCGTGAGTACAGTATTGTGGTACGTATTAAAATAGTGACATGAGGGTATCGTTACACCCCTATATATATATATATATATATATATATATATATGTGTGTGTATATGTGTGTGCGCACACTTTGAGATCACAGGAATAAATTACATTTTACAAACACAATATTTGAATTGTACAATATGGACCTCTTATAGGACTCTTACACTGCCTGATAGCCCACCTTAACAGCTGCCACGTAGTTGCACAAGTGTTCACCCAGGTCCAGAGAGATCTCGGAGTAAGTCCCCTCGTGAGCCAGACTGGGCCAGAACCGGGCCGAGCCGTCCGGAGACACGGCCAAAGCACTGATGGACTGTGAGAAAACACATTTGCATAGAGTTGCATCACAGGGTTTATATTCATATATTCAGTAATATTATGGATTTGACTGCACTGACACTATCAATTAAGTGCAACTCTGACACTGTTATTGAACTAAACTGAATCAACGCTGAACTGACATGATCTAAAAAAAGGCACTATTTTGTTCTTTAGAGCTGCTTTACAGCTGAGATCTCATATTTAATGAAGTTTGCATTATTGATTCTGTTATTTTCCTGTATTGTATAAAGCGCTATATAATAACGATGACTTGACTTGACTCTAGACCTCCTGTGGTAACGTTCAGAGATGCAAGATCTCACCTGTATGGTTGCATGATCGAGTGGACCGGAGGAGTTGATGGAGATGAGATCGGCGCTGTACGCAAACTCACTGGACGGCAGCTGGAGGTCTTTACACACTGACAGCTGCAATCACAGCAAACGCATAAAGTTCATGCAAACTGTCACGGCAGCAAATGCAGCAGCAAACAATAGTGTCTCGTTCTGACCTTTGCCACAGACGTCTGAGACACTTTCCAGACGACCAGATGCTCTCCACAAACCATCCACGCCCAACCGGACGCCTCCACCTTCACAGAGATCTGATCGTCCACTGCAACAGACACAATATCATACATCGTAAAGTAGGGCTGTGCGATATGACGATATATATCGGTTGGACGATATAAAAAGCCTATCGTTTCATATTATGCCATATCGTTTATATCGTGGTGTCACATTGTTTACGGCAAAAATTTGGATGACTGCAATCTTTCACGCCACCATGGGGATGCAGGCAGAAACGTGAATAACAGCATGAATGAAGGGGTGACAGAACCGGGTGTTTCCGAGCAGGAGAAGAACCAGCCAGAACAAACCGAGGAGCTCGTTCCTAAACGATGGTTTGGTTAACTTTCTATTTGTTGTATTGACCATTTTAGGGTGGTTTGGATAAATAAACGCCAGTCTCAAATAGAGGCCTGGTCTGTTTTTTAGTTTCGGTTTGTATTTAATCTTCTAAAACCCGTCAGATCGTCTGTTTAAACCAGTTCTGTGGTGCAGATTGCGCGCATCTGGACGGAGTTGTTCGCGCAAGCAGAGTTAGCGGAGGCCGGAGAGAGAATGAGATCGTTTTACAGGGTATAGCCTTCATTCTTTCTTGATGTGTTTCGGGCAACAAGTTCATAAGGCTCGATGGATATTACCAGTAATGTATTGTTCAGCCCATGGCTGTCACATCGTTTCATTTTTTTTAATTCTGCCAATAATCTAAAAGCTAAGGTTATATTAAATGTACAATTATCGTTATGTATATACTGACTTCACCCTGTGCTGCAACATACATTTAGTTGTACATTCATTTACAGAAATCAGCTGGTTGAATTTAAATTGATGCTGTTATCGGATTTTCAGGTGATATTCCCAATTCATTCAGTTAACGGACGCTCTGAGGTAAAGTGTTCAGACTGCAGACTAAGCAACGATTGTATTTAATTGTACAGTACTATCATAACATAGTACAGACATGATCTTAATTCCATAATGTCCTTAAACATAACAATTTGCTGGCCATAAACTGACAGCGCGCGTCCGGTGTGCGATACCTCGAGTTGCTATAGACACGGCGCGCGCGCTTCTCGTCCGGTGAGCGACCCCCTTTAGACATAATAAAGTAGGCTAGGCTAATTCTTAGATTAACGGATTTGTTAAACACATTTATAAATAAAACGTAATCTTCGTTATCTCTAGGCCTACACTAAATGAAAGGCCTGTCTCATAGACGCCTGCCTCAAATACAAGCCGGTGCAGATCGGCGATTTGGGAAAATAAAAGCCCGGGCTATTATTTGAAGTTTTACAGTATATCGTGATATATATCGTTATCGGGATATGAGATGACTTCTATCGTGATATGAGATTTTGGTCATATCGCCCAGCCCTATCGTAAAGCCTTCGCACAAATACCAACACTGGATCTGCTCTCAAAAACTAGAGATCTGCCTTGGTTGGTCCAGTGCCTAAGATGCCACCCAAGTAGACAGATTGCCAGGTTTTTTGAGACACAGGGCTCGGTAAAGTTAAAGACACCAATCTTTACCATCCGCCATGGTCAACGCCTCCATGACTTTGACAGGTAGAGATGATCCGAAAGTCTGTACATCAAAATTACACGAATCAACAACGGCATGACTCTGAACTCGCGTGGGAGTAGATCTGGAGAAAGAAGAGAGATGCTCTCACAAATCAGCTCGAAAACAAAAGTAAACTTTTTTTGTACATTATGGAAACTGCTGGTCATATTCAGTATTAATTGGAGAAGAAAACTATCACGACTGAATATTGAATATGTTTGTATTTATGTATTTTTACAATGTTTCGCAATCATAAAAGTGCCGTAAAACTAGACTAATTTGCTACTAGCTGGTCACTGTGTAGTTTCTAAAAAACAGACTGAAACTTGAATATGTTTTATATTATAATATGTTTATATTAATTATAATTAAATATATATGAATAACACTAAGCAAATAATAACTTATAATTGAATTTTTCTTTTTATTTGCAGAATTTAAAGATTTAATGCATTACAAAACTCTGTTATAACAAAAAAAAGTGCAGTGATGGTATCATATGATAATACCATGGTAACTCGATATATAGGCTATAATATAATATATATATATATTTTTGAATGGTTTCTCACGGTTCTTGTTCAGATTACCATGTACACAACGCAATCACTCAGTGTGTTTACTGTGCTTTACCTGGCCGTGACAGCGGAGCGGCGTGGAGAGAACAGATGCCCGGGCTGGACGACGCTCACACTTCTCCGACCCCCGGTGCGAGGCGCCTGTCTGCGGCCTGAGCTCGGTGTGCCGCGGGGAGTGAACATACTGGACCCGCGATCTGTTTACCAGGGACAGAAACTCATCCGAAGGCAACGAGACGCGATAAACTTTGTACAAACCTTTTACCGCGCGCTCACTACAGTCAAGCGCACACAATATGCGTCATTCAAACGCGCATGCGCTCATGCTGCTGCTCCTGTGTGTGTGTGTGTGTGTGGTTGAGACATTAAACTGATTCTGGGTCAGCGTTTCAGGACAAGCGCTTGACAATCTCACATTATATGTGAGGTTGTGTAGTTTCACTTCACTCTATAACAGTTCTATTAAAATATGCAAAAATTAAACGAGCATATTATAATAACTCAAATGTGTCTGCACCAAAATGCGTCAATCTCAGCATGGTGGTGTTAAATATAATTTCTCATTTATTTCTGTACTTTATACTAGAGTGAAACATATCTTTTTCAATCTCCATGGATGCGCATGTGTCCTTGTGCTCTAGTTGGAGATGAATATTTTGTTAATAAAGTGGCAAATTGTGTATTTTTAGGCAAACAAAGCACTCGCGACGCTTCATAAAATTGAGGGTAAACTGCTGGAGTCACAGGGATTACTTTACCTTTCTGGGGCTTGAAACTGGTAGTTGCGTAGCCTGTCAATGGAGGGACAGAAAGCACTCCGATTTCATTCAAAATATCTTCATTTGTGTTCCGAAGATGGACGAAGGTGTTACGGGTTTGAAACGACATGAAGGCGAGTTATTAATGACAGAATTTTCATTTTTGGGTGAACTATCCCTTTAAAAAAAAAACTTTACAGTAGTTTTTAACGGGTCGACGCGCTAGAGGGCGCTGTGCCGCGCGTGCGATCTCCGCACGCCGTTAGTGCACGCGCAGAAGAAGAGAGCTCGCGACCAATGGAACAGCGGTGGAGAGTTGCGGTCTTCTCCTGATCACCTCCTTTTCTCCAGGACTGTCGTATAAGGAATATGCAGTAGGTGTTGAACATATTTACCAAACTGTAAAGCACATATGAACCGGAATGACTTCTGTGTGTTTGAGATTAGAGTGTGCAGAAGTGTGATGATGAGCTCAGTGATTGAGGCCGCGCGTAAATTTGGACCTGCAGGATTTATTACATTTATAAATCTTATCTAAGGATATCTAATGAATTGATATGTGTTTTGGCTTGTCCGCTCACCTCCCATTGACTCACCAGTAAAGTAACCAGCTGTGAATGGCTGTGTCACAACATCTTAACGAGCTGTCTTTCTACACAGCATTTTGAGGCATTATATAGTTCTAAAACGCCTCTGATAAAACATCAAATAGAATGTTCGAATATGCCTATGATATCCAGACATTCCATCGACAGTTTGGATTCGACTGTAAGAACGCGCCGCGCAAAGTAACCGAATGTTCGAACGAAAATGAATCGAACGTTCGAATCTAACGTTAAAACACGTATGATGCATTGAAATCGAATCAAATATTCACGCATACTTCCGATTCTCAAAAATTCAGTCAAATATTCGATAACGTTTATGATTCTCTAACATCAAATCAAATATTCAAACAAGGTTTTGATTCCCTAGAATCATATCAAATGTTCAAGCATGCTCATGATTCCCTAAAATTAAATCAGATATTTGAGTGTGTATGATGCTCTTGTCAAATATTCAAGTGTGCTTATGTTTCTAAAAGCAAAACAAATATTTGAGCATGCATGTTTATGATTCATTCAAATTGAACCGATTATTCAAACATGCTTGTGATTTCTTAAAACCATATAAAATGTTTAAGCACACTTATGATTCCCTAAAATTGAATCAAGTATTCAAGCGTGCATATGATTTTCTAAAATCAAATAATGTGTAGGCATGCATGTATACGATTCATTCAAATTGAACCACCACAACACATGTTTATGATGCCCTAAAATCAAATCAAGTATTCAAGCATGCTTATGATTCCCTAGAATCACGTTAAATGTTCGAGCATGGTTATGATTCCTGAAAACTGAATCAAATATTCGAGTATATGCTTATGATTCTCTCAAATATTCAAGCGTGCCGTGCACATGATTCTCTAAAAATCGCATCATACATTTCAGCATGCATGTATATGATTCATTAAAATTGAACCAAAAATTCAAGCATGCTTATGATGCCCTAAAATCGAATCAAACATTCAGATTGATATGATTCCCACGGATGTGTTTCGAGACCCAGCCAGTGAATAATGTGAGTTCATGCGTTATGTTGTCATCTTTCTCATTGCATGGCCTGCAGTGAATCGATGCATGAATGTATATGTTACGATCTCTCTTCAGGAGATGAAGCGTGTCCGGACGGAGCAGATCCAGTACGCGGTGACCCAGTACCTGAAGAGGAGACAGTACATAGACACTGATGGCTCTCTGAAGGGGGCCAAACTCTCCCAGTCCGCGGAGGAGATGGCTGCCAGTCTGACGGGTGACTGAACTTAAGCTGTGTGATTTAAATAAACCCTGAGTAATAGTAATAGCTAGTGGTGGGCAGATCGAGGCTTGTGCAACGGTGAAACAGTTGAAGCAAATGTGCCGTATCGTGTCGAGGCTTCGAAAACAATCACCCCTAGTGGTCAGAACAGGGTAATGCAACAAAAACTCAGGCCAAACATGCATAAAACACCTTTACAAATCAATTGCACTTGCATTTTTTGAAAGGTAAAGTCTTAAATGCAATGATCGAATCATCTAAAGGTTAAGGTTTGTTTTGTCAGTTCTATGAATGGCTCAGCGAAACAGGCCAATAAGAGACTTTCAACTACTATTATTCATTTTAATTGCACTAATGTCTAATTAAAACGTCTACAGATGTATAAAACTGATCAGAGATCAGGTAAAACCCACAGAGACTTGTTCACTGGTTCTCAGTGACTCCTCATAATTCATGGGTTGACAGAGATCAACAGTTATGACGTAATGAAGCCTCGTTTGCTGAAATCACGTGACTCTGGCAATTTGATGCACGCTTCGAACCATTGATTCGGAACAAAAGATTCGTAAAGAATTGCCATCACTAGTCATAGCGATGCTCATCTTCACCCTTTCTCTCTCTTTCGGTCGTGTGCAGTTCAGACGGAGTCGAGCTGTGCGAATGTGGTGTCGGCCGCCCCGTGTCAGTCAGACCCGCAGCAGTACGAGACCCAGTTCTCCAGACTGCGCTCCTTCCTGCAGGGTGAGACACACACACACACACTGCTTTAATCCACAGGAGGAAGTGCTCTGGTTTTAACAAGCGTTCTCTCTGCCTCAGAGGCCGAAGCACCGTTAGTGAAGGAGGTGAGCGGCGTCTTGTTTCCGCTCTTCCTCTACCTGCACCTGGACATGGCGCGATGTGGCCTGAAGGGGGCGGTAGACTCGTTCTACGGGCGCTTTCACTCGCTCTTCCAGCAGGACCCTGAGCAGAAAGCCATCGTGGACCTGCTACGAGGAGCCCTCACACTGCAGGTCCGTTGGTTTTACTATTGTTTTAGTTGTTAAAGTCCCTCTTTAGTCAATCATTTTATCGCTAAAAACTCATCTTTGATCACCAAAATGACACATTTAGATGTTTTTTCTCTCTTCATGGCTTAAAATAGCTTGAATGTAACTCGACACCCTTGCCTCATTTAGTATACGCGGATCTATGAATATGCAAATGAGCCCCGCCTCCACTCACTCACTCAGCTCAGAGATCCACTGGTTGACGATCACACGTTGATCTGATTGGTTATAAGGTAGTGTGTGACGTCAGAAACACCAGCGATTTCAAACCGTGTTTTGGTTCACTGCAGTTTTAAGGAGAAAATACTCAGCAATGCTGTCGACTTATGAATTTACACATGGTTTGTCTTAAAGCACATTAAAAACACCACAGAGACATATAAACAACATTAAAAGCTGGATTTTCACCACAGGGGGACTTTAACGGTTCACTTAGTTTGTATAAACAAACCAAAAATTCATTAGACAATCCACATTGGAAATGGGTCAAATAGAGCACATCGCATGCAGTCTTCCAAGCCAGAAGGGAAGTCGTCACGCTTTATCTATCATGCTGGAACCTTTTTTTTTTTTTTGTTGTCTTCCAGGATGTGACCTCAAACCCTAAACTCGGTTCCCTCCTGGATCACAAGTACGTGGTGCACCTGACGGATCAAGCGTACAGTTACCTGCTGCGATACCTGCAGAGCGACGACAACAGCGCCATCTGCTGGGCGCTCAGCACGCATGTGAAGGTGTGACACAACACTGCCTGACAGGAAGTACTCAGAGAACCTGACCTACAGTCTAACCAAACCTTATTCAGACACGTCAACATTTCTCACATTATCACAGTTTATTCGCTATAGTTTAGAAAATGGTAATAAAATATGACAAGAATGATCAAATTAGATGATATTTCACTGGTTTTGTCCGTCCTTCTGTTAGACTGTCTCACAAATTAATTATGTTGAATATCTGTCAGCTGTTAAATTTAAGATAATACCAATTTAGCTCAACGAATTACCAAGCAATGCTTCATGTTGTTCAGTCTGTGTGTAAAAAGGTCGCATTAGAGAAAAGAAAAAACACTTCAGCAAAACATGGTCAGCTCAAAGTGTCTGAATAATTTTTGGTCCCAAATTTGTATACATTTTACAGGTATGAAGAATTTTTGGGTATAATATGTCACAGTTTACTTTATTTTGCTATCCTCACTTACATAAATTAACTATAGTCTCCTGCACACACTAGTAAAAGAAAATATACAAAATTATTAGTGCTGTCAAACGATTAAAATATCTAATCGCGATTAATCGCATTAATGTCATAGTTAACTCACGATTAATCGCACATTTTTATCTACTCTAAATGTCTCTTGATTTCTTTTTGTCCCATTATTTTTTCTCATTTTAATGCTCTTATCAACATGGGAAAGTAGATCGGCTTGCTTTGTGCAAATGTTTTTTATTGAAAACAACATGGGCATATACTGTGTTCAATTTCACAGTAACATTCTCACTTGGAGCAAATAATCCCTCACACAATGTAACACTGTCCATCAATAAAAGGGTGAAAGAAATACTGACGAGGTCCTGATATTGACGAGGGGGCGGAGAATTCGCATCAGCTGTGTGTGTGTGTGTGTGTGTGCTTGGCCATCATCAAGTGGTATTTCAGACTGGACGTGCTGCGATGATGATAGCTCAGTTCACAACGACAAAACACACAGATCACTTTGGTCTTGTCAATGGAACCATTTGGCAACTTTTTAAAAGTAAACTTTCCATTCAGAATCTTATTGGCTCCATTTCGGCGTCTCGCGCTCGTCATCCACTCAAAACGTAACGTTAACCAACTATTTGGCCGGCTCGCAAGCCCAAACAAGTGTGTGTGGCGTGCCTGTTGTGTTGTTTCCGGGTCTAGCTAGATCCGCCTGCGCTTTGGTCGACGAAGCAACAAAACGTCCTGGCGCGGCGCAAGCCATTGAAATGAATGGGTTTCATAGCGCCGCGAGGCCGTGTCCTGTTGCAAAAGCATGTGAAAAAAACTACAAAGTTTGCTAAGCAAAAGAGACCGTTAACCTCGCGTTAAAAAAATTGACGCCGTTAAAATGGGTTTGCGTTAACGCCGTTCATAACGCGTTTAACTGACAGCCTTAAAAATTCTGGTGTCTGAATAGTTTTTGGTTTGACTGTACAGTGTTTGGGCTAACACCTGTGTTTCCTCAGGTGGAGGTGACGGCATCGCGGCGAACCGACTACCAGCTGTACGGCGCAGGGATCGCAGCGGGAAACACCACCTCCACTCCCTCTTCCTCCACCACATGGGCCGCCCTGGATGGGTCTGAGGGGGCGGAGCGCGTGGAGGTCACGGCGGGGTTACCGCAGAACGAGGCGGCGCTGGACACGCTGCAGGACTGCATAAAGCGCGTGCGAGAAGGTCCGCCTTCGCTCACCACCGTCTGCTTCTACGCGTTCCAGCACACGGATCAGCTGCTCAACACGGCCGAGGTGTCGGCGGACAGCCGTCTGCTGGCGGCGGGCTTCGACAACTCCGCCGTCAAGCTCTGGAGTCTGCGGGCCAGGAAGCTGAAGGCCGGGCCTCACTGGGCCGATGTGTCCAGAATAAGACTCGCCTGTGATGTGCTGGAGGAGGAGGTGAGTGACAGCTGTCAATCTCGCTCGTTCATTACCAGCATCAGTATGTGCATCTAATCAAGTTCAAGGTGATTTGTTTCTTTAGCGCATTTAAAAACATCCGCAGGCAGACCAAAGTGCTGGACAACGATAGTAATAAAAATACACGGAAATTAAGAAGGAAAAAAAAAAAAGAGAGAGACAAAATTACATATTAAAAGCCAAAGAGAAAAGATGAGTTTTAAGAAAAAGATGATACCTGAAAGGACTGGGAGCATAAAGCTAAATCTTGAACCTTTTGATGATTTTCAGTGTATCTCTATTTATTTGCTCTAAAATGCTCTTTTATTTCACGTCATTTTATTAATGGAAACCCTCGTTTTGACCAAACAGTCTTTGGTCTTGTAGAGTAAAAACGTTAAAATAAAATACAGATGTAAAATACAGTTTAATTTACGTTAACCTTTTTGTTTTAATCAAATGCGCATTGATATTTTATTGAATTATTTTGTACTAATACTAACATGAATGCTATTAAATTAAATGGCAATGTTGACATGCATACATGTAAGACATTTAAAGGCCATTAAGATTCTCTGCATTATTTCATCCCCAAGGCCTCATTTCTTTAGTGCAAAACAAATTACAATGAGATATTTAAATGGTGTTTATCATGGCAGTATTTGTGTACAGCTTTTAATTTGTTGGTTTAAAGAATTAAGTTCCCCCACCCTCATTTTTACTTTATTTTATCCAAAGAAATCCTCATTTTAACCAAACAGTAGATTCAAATGTTAAAATCCCCCTGTAGTCAATAATTTTATCCCTTAAAACTCATCTTTGATCACCAAAATTACATATTAAAACGTTTTTTCCCTGTGACATTCATGCCTTAAAATAGCTTGAATGTAACTCGACACCCTTGCCTCATTTATTATACGTGGTTCTATGAATATGCAAATGAGCCCCGCCTCCACTCACTCACTCCAGCTCAGAGATCCACTGGTTGACGATCACACGTTGATCTGATTGGTTACAAGGTAGTGTGTGACGTCAGAAACACCAGCGATTTCAAACGTGTTTTTGAGACTGTCTTTGGTTCACTGCAGTTTTAAGCAGAAAATACTCATGAATTTCTACTTATGAATTTACACATGGTTTGTCTTAAAGCGTATTAAAAACACCACATAGACATAAAAAGAGGTAAAATACAATCAACTTCAACAATTTTTTAACTAAATTAACAGTTATATTTTATTGATTTATACATTTTTAAACCTTGTATTCAAACAAATATTTGAATTCGTTTTTAATATTAATTTCATGTTCTATTTCATTAACATAATATAAAACTCAGATATTTTTACAACATTATTACAAAATAGTTGTATCTCATTGTTCCTAAATCACACTTTATTGCAATAAAGATCCGCTTCTGTTATATTAATATTTGAATGTGTTTTCATCCACACCTCAAGTCATTGACATGTATTTTTGTTTCCAATCAGGCAGATGACGAGGACGCCTCGGGCAGCGAGATAAAGACCCTGCGCGCTCACAGCGGCCCGGTGTATCGCACGGCGTTCCTGACGGACGGCTCCGGCCTGCTGTCCTGCTCGGAGGACTCCACCGTGCGCTTCTGGGATCTGAGCAGCTTCACGAACACCGTCCTGTACCGCGGCCACGCGTACCCCGTGTGGGACGTGGACGTCAGTCCCTGCAGCCTGTACTTCGCCACGGCGTCCCACGACCGCACCGCGCGCCTCTGGAGCTTCGCGCGCACGTACCCGCTCCGCCTGTACGCCGGACACCTCTCCGACGTCGACTGCGTCAAATTCCACCCCAACTCCAATTACGTGGCGACGGGTTCGACGGATAAAACGGTGCGCCTGTGGAGCACCCAGCAGGGGGCGTCCGTGAGGCTGTTCACAGGGCACCGCGGGCCCGTGCTCTCGCTAGCGTTCTCGCCCAACGGGAAGTACCTGGCGTCGGCCGGGGAGGACCAGAGACTGAAGCTGTGGGACCTGGCGTCCGGGAGCCTGTTTAAAGACCTGCGCGGTCACACCGACAGCATCACCAGCCTGTCCTTCAGTCAGGACAGCAGTTTGGTGGCCTCCGCCTCCATGGACAACTCCGTGCGCGTGTGGGACATACGCAACGCACACGGCTCCGCCCCCGCCGACGGCTCCAGCAACGAGCTGATTGGACAATACACCGGGAGCACTAGCAATATCCTCAACGTGCAGTTCATGGCCTGCAACCTGCTGTTGGTGACGGGCACTGCGCTGGAGAAACAGGAGCAATGAGGGAAGGGCAATCTCAGCTAAACATGTCTAGGGCATATTCACCCCAAAATCATATTTTGTGCAAGTAAAATGACACCTTTTAGCACCATTTAAACATTAAACTCATTCCCGAGTCATCATAGTTGTAATACAAGATGAGTTAAGTGTTGTAATTTGATTTAAGTAAATAATCAAGTTCATAGCCCATACTTTTATATATATAATATAAATAATAGCAGAATTTTTCAGAATTATTGTAAGTTCATAACAATTCACTGTATTTTTCTAATCTTTGTTAAAGCACAACAAATACTAACTTGATGTGTAAATATTTATTATTATTATTATTAATAATATTACAATGAGAATTTGGTTGGCAAACGCGTTTGAATAGTCACATTCTTCTTTTTTTTTTTTTTTTCACAAAATATATGTTCTTTTTCTTGTGAAATGTGTCCCGGACAGGTTTAGTGAGATTCACCCTTGTGTGTGTTTTGTAAAGCGTGAGTGACATTTTGGTTCTGATGTCTGTTAATGCCTCTCGAGGTCAGAGGTGAATCCTGCTGTTTTCATATAGATGTAAATATTAGACAAGTTAGGTCATTATTTTCAGCTCGGCTTATTTCCGTTGTGACATTGCTGTTTTGTCGATGGCCCATGTTTATATGGTAATTCTGGAAGAACATTCAACCAACACTGTGTTTCTGGATCTTCACCATGAAGGCAGACAAACAGGATTCATTCTGCTTGATCAATCCCTATATCCTTGTTTTGTTTCACATTAGTTTAACATTGCATCTACCCAGAGTAAGTTCCAGACACATTGAGTTTACCTAGTTTTCTCATTAAAGGCAAATCTTCCCTATGAAGGTTAAAAAAACCAAGATTTATTTACACGCCAGTTTTGTCTGTTGTTGCCTGTTGAACAGAGTAACTCACAGTTTCACTGAATCTGATTTGGCAATTATGCAGTTGGTTTTGTATGAAGTGAAGTTCTTCCGTCTCCAGCACCGTCTTCTTGTGTCCCTGGTGGTCGACAACACAATCATGGGATGTGTATCTGGAACTGCGAAGACCAAAAAAAAGACTTTTGTATCTATTTGTATTGCTTCCTTGAATAGAAATGATTTTGCGTCATTCTGATACTTGTAAATATATTTTTGTAACATTTCTCACAGTCCCGATCTCATTTTTTTGATGTTGCAAATCTGATTATTACCATTCTAGTTACAGTAACACCATAGTGAAGTCCTGGATCCGCCTCCTCACACACAGGCGTGGCTGCTTCACCCTAACCAGTTTCTGCTCTGGATGGGTGTGACGCCAACCTGACAAGCCTGTCCACCGGCCAGTGTGGCTGAATATCTCACACGTACACACACTCGCAGCTCCAGTAGAGCGTCACTCGTGTCCTGTCTGAGGTTTTGGAGCTGATTTGAAGATGCCCTATATTGTGAATCAGTCGAGTGGCTCTGGGCAGGCGACCCTAGTGGAGAGCACGCAGGCGGACGGGAAGACGTATGAGCAGCTCCGGCTGGAGTGTTTGCAGAAGGGGAAGTTGTTCGAGGATCCAGATTTCCCTGCCGTGGAAGACTCGCTCTTCTTCAGCCAGAGGGTCCCGGTTAACTTTGAATGGAAGAGGCCGGGGGTAAGTGAGCACTTCATGACACATCCTGCAGAAATTTGAGTTGATGCATCTTGGGTGTGATGAAATGGGGTAGTCTGGGATATTTGGTGCACTTTTGAGTTCAATTATTCACTGCAATGTCGAACAAGAATTGTTCACCCACACAAAATGAGACCCCAATCACATTACAAACCAGATGGATTTGATGGAGAAAGATGTCCCAATGAAGCAATTACCCTAAATGGATTTGTACTTTCATTTCCTCCATGGCATTACATTGTTTAGAGCATAAGAAACAAATGGAGGGGGGAAAAAATAAGCTTTTTTTATTTTATAGAAAATTATATTTTATATGTATGTTTATGTTATGCTATGTCCTCTGCAGTCGACACCAGGACTCAAAATAAAATGACAAGAAATGTATAGGCAAAAACAATGGGATTTTTTTTAAAATTCCCCAATCAATTTTTAAGTTTCAGGATTATGTTTTTACCAAACTTTGTGTAAAGATAATTCTCAACAATGTTATGAAAGATATAATGGAATGAATTGATATACCATTTTGCTTCATGCACTATGTGGGTAAAATGGCCATAAATGGGTTTTCCCATTCAATACAATGTACCTATACACACTCTAATTTGCACATTAATGTGTGTTCTTGGGCACAACATGTAATGATGGTAATATTTCATATGTATATTTATATATAATTTCTTTCACTATTCACTCGTTGTGTCTCCCAAAATGCCTGATTTAAGTCCTGGTGTCTCTACAGTGGACATGTATGAAATCAAAGCCCTGTTTTGTAACAGTCATATTTTGATTGGAAACCCCATTACATTTCCCTGAGATGTTGATTTATGACAAATAATTTGAAAATGAATCAAATTGTCAATTAAATGACAATTACAAAATATGATCATATTTCCATAAGAGTGCTGAATTTGATCACCTAAATTAATGTCAGCCATTTTTAAGGACCTAGGAAGAGTTGTCCTGGTGAAACCTCCATAAATTTGGCATCTCTAAAACTGTGACGTGTATGGTGTCAGAGAAATTCACTAAAATATAATGTCCTCTACAGTGGACAAAAGTGTGTCCATGGGTCCCAGGAGGATATAAAGGATCACTGGGTGAATTTGAGGGTATTCCCTGAAATCTATAGGATAAAGCTGAGCATTACCCTTAAAGGTGGGCACAAATGTGTGGAACTATCAAAGCGTTAAATTTTCCTCAATACTAAAGTATAGAGGCTGAATTTAGTCACTTAAGTGGCTGATAAAGGCACTAAATAGTTTTTGAATGGGGTTGAAGAAGCATTTCCATCTTCCATGTATAGATGTTAGATGAATGAATGGGAGTGGTTTTTACAGTTTGTAATTACTAACTGAATTGCTAATTGAAAACAGTGTCATGATTTTTGATTGTTATGGCAGACGACTGATATAATGTTGCATGCACTTTACATGTAACAAGCCTAAGTTTGTCACTGAACAATTGCCAAAATTTTAAAATAAATGTTCTTTATTGCCATTGATGGTTCCATATAGAATCTTTCACATCCATGGAACCTCTCCGTTGCACAAAAGATTCTTTCGATTTTTCAAATGTTCTTCAAACTAAGAAAATATGGTTCTTTTAAGAACTGTTCACTGAAATGTTCTTAGATTAACCCAAATTGGTTGAATATATTTCCTGACATTTCACTTTCCTTTGAGAGTAACACAACAAAAAGTCATATTTGTGTATTAAATACATTTATGAAGTAGGCATTGGCGACGGATGCCATGAAACAGGTCAGGAATGCGGGTGGAATGTAAGCATGCATGGAACGCACAGTGTTTATTTGGTGTTGATTGTTGAAATATATAGAGGATCCTGTTTTTATTTGGTTGGAAATGGACTATTGGGCTGAGTTTAAGAACAGGTTATAAGTGGTTATGACAAATGATGGGTGAAATGCAGAGCACAAATTCTGAGTATGGGACACCATTCTTGGCTTCATGTCACTTCACATTTGATAAAAGATGATCCACACCTCTTTAAGGACCTCTGAATGAAACTACAGTACAACTGCATTTCATTCCAGGGTGTTCCCGCAGAGCGACCTTAGATATGCACCGAGTGAAGAGTGTGGGCTTGAGTTATGTGAACACACCTCACACAGGCATCATGGGCGTTCACACATCTCCCTCAGTCTTCAATCAAACGATTCATTAGTAACTGCTGGTCATGTGATGTGTTGTAACTTCTGGAAATGTCTGTAAATAAGTAGCTTAAAGTTTAACAACAGCCAGAATTGATGGGAGCAAAGTTTACTGTTGTGAAGACAACCTACACTAACCTTTTTTTTCCCTCAAAATACTTCTAAAAATGTTTGGATAAATGGATGGGTAGATAGACAGATGGATGGACGGGTAGATAGACGGATGGATGGATGGATGGGTAGATGGACAGACGGATGGATGGATGGACGGGTAGATAGACAGATGGATGGATGGTAGATGGACAGACGGATGGATGGATGGATGGATGGATGGACGGGTAGATAGACAGATGGATGGATGGGAAGATAGACAGACGGATGGATGGATGGATGGATGGGAAGATAGACAGACGGATGGATGGATGAATGGATGGATGGGTAGATAGACAGACGGATGGATGGACTGGTAGATAGACAGATGGATGGATGGATGGTAGATAGACAGATGGATGGATGGATGGATGGGAAGATAGACAGACGGATGGATGGATGGATGGGTAGATAGACAGACGGATGGATGGACTGGTAGATAGACAGAGGGATGGATGGATGGTAGATAGACAGATGGATGGATGGATGGATGGGTAGATAGACAGATGGATGGATGTGTAGATAGACAGATGGATGGATGGTAGATGGACAGACGGATGGATGGATGGGTAGATAGACAGACGGATGGATGGATGGGTAGATAGACAGACGGATGGATGGATGGGTAAATAGATAGACGGATGGATGTATGGGTAGATGGATGGATGGGTAGATAGACAAACGGATGGATGGATGGTTGGATAGATGGATGGGTGTTATTAGATTTGATTAATTGATTAATATTTTTCTCTAATCTGTTCAAATTCAGGAAATCTGCAAAACTCCACAATTCATCACAGGAGGAGCCACCAGGACAGACATCTGTCAGGGGCAGCTGGGTATGCTTTCCTTATTGTTTCTTCAAAACACCTTCAATGACCAAAGAATGTCCATGCATTATGCATAATATATGAGTATATATTCAGTAATATATCATATCCTTTACAGGAGACTGCTGGCTGTTGGCAGCGATCGCCTCCCTGACCCTCCATGAGGAGACGCTGAAGAGGGTCGTCCCACATGACCAGGGCTTTGATCGCGGATATGCCGGTATCTTCCACTTCCAGGTGAGTCTCACTCGCTGATAGGGGAGTAACAATATATCGTAGAAGCATATTCGTCTAAAATAATTCTGTATTTTCAGCTTCAGAATCATGAATATTTTT